TCTTAACATTCCTAGCGCTGCCTTAATTGATAGAGTAGTATTCTTTACATTAGTTAAGAATGCCACACACATACCACTACAGTTATTGGTTGCCACATCAAATGTACTGAGCAGTATTAGCATTACTGATAACTAATGAAGTAAGTATATAGTATACTATTAAAAAGAAATTTACCTGATGAAAGTCATGTTCTAAAACTATTTGAATGTTTTAACATTTTGCTTTTACAATAGTCAGAGCCTGACTAATTACGTCAAACCTTTCTTTTTACTCTAAAAACATAAATTTTTCTGTAATTGTTATGTTGTAACTAGTAAATTCTACTAATTTTTTGTTAAATCTTGCATTTATTTGGTCTGGCACAATTGAACAACAGTTTTGCTCTAGTCGTATTGTTATAGCAGAAGCAACAATGGAACGTCTTGTTAAAGAAAATCAATATTCCACACCTGATGAAGTGATGCATGAAATGAAGGCACTACCTTCCAGTCAGCCAGAGCTACAGTGTCAAGTACAACCTCAACACAGCAAGAAATACACTGGAGACAAATGGTTGCTTCGAATAATAGCAATAGTGCTAGTTGTTATTTTGCTGTTGCTTATCGTTATAGTGTTTATGTGTGGCTTTATAATATCACAATCATCTCCTGCTGAATGTAGCACTACTGCTCCTGGTGCTACAACTGCTGGTCTGACTGCTACTGACAATCGTTTGTACCAGTTGTTTAATCAATCGCTCATTTACTTTGCTCAAGAAATTCATAAGAGCATTGGTAATATTGTCAATGGAGCAACTAACAGCACCCAAGCTTTGGTCCAGGCAAGCATTGAACAATTGGCCCTTCTGGTTGATATTGTTCAAGAAATTAAGAGGAAAGTCAACAGCACAGATGACCTTCTTGAGGCTGCTGTTCTTACAAACAACATTACTAACAGCACTAAGGCTCTTGTGCATGGAAACATTGAACAATTGGCCCTTCTAGTTGATGTAACTCAAGAAATCAAGAGGAATGTCAACTATACACATACCAATCAACTCCTTTCTCATATTACTAATGTTACTCACATCAATAATGCACTTGCTTGGGACCACATAGATGCTCTTTCTTTGATTGAAACCTCGTTGAACAACAACACAGATTTATTAAAAACGTTTGCTGCATCTAATAGTGATTCCTTTAGTGGCATTTTGAACACTCTGTCTAATATACAAGACACCAGTAGCTTTATTGCTGGAGTGGTTGATGATATATTAATAGTGGTACAAGAACTATTAGTGGCACACAATATCTCTTCTCTTCTACCTACATCTTGCAAGCAAATTAAAGATAAAAATCCCATCAGTCCATCAGGGATCTACATACTGGCAACTGCCAATGGTACCAGTTTATATTATACTTACTGTAATATGGAGGAGTTGTGTGGTTCAGGAGGAGGGTGGACAAGACTAGCATATCTGGATATGAGTGACTCTACAGTGAACTGTCCTTCTGGGTTTAGACTGTACCAGTCAGGAGGAGTTAGAGCTTGTGGTAGACCAGTAACAAGCAGTGGTAGCTGTGTATCAGTTCAGTTCTCATCTAATGGTATCAGTTATTCTCAGGTGTGTGGTAGAGTAACTGGATATCAATATAGTTCACCTGATTCAGTTAACAGTAATATTGATTTAAATAGCTATTATGTTGATGGTGTTAGTATCACTCGTGGGTCTCCTCGTCAACATGTATGGAGTCTAATGGCTGCCAATTGTGAAGTGAATTTTTATTTTACTTTTGATCGTTTCTGTCCTTGTGGTACTGGCTCTGTCGTTTCAGTTTCATCATTTATTGGAGACCATTATTTTTGTGAATCAGGGATTGGTGGTGCTGGTTTTTATCGAAAGCAGTTGTATACATCTGATCCACTCTGGGATGGTGAAGGTTGTGGTTTTCTTGAATCACCTTGTTGTGATGTTCCTGGTATCCCATGGTTTCACAGAGACTATGGTAGCACTACCACTACTGACTATATTGAGTTGAGGGTGTGTGGAGATGAGGGAACTGATGATGAAGATGTTCCTGTTGGTTATTATGAGATTTATGTTCAGTAGAATAGTTTTATTATAAACCTTTTTCTTAGCTTTAGTTATAGCTTGTATCTGTTATAGAACAGTCATATTTAGTGTAATGTTAATTGAATTGTTCACAATGTAATTGTGCATTCTTTACTTCCTTTTCTCTATTTCCTAATGAACTCAATTAAACCAATTATCTGAGATATTTAACTCTTATTTTTTCAATGGCGCGTCCTTTGTTCTGCAACTGTACAGATAAATTTTTCGGAGTTTGATTATGTGGCATTTTATCTTGAAAATTTTTGAACCAAAGATACGCAATAGAAAATGAAATCAATCAATCTCTTTAGTACATTTGAAGCACACCCTTCAGTAAGACAAAGTTTTTATTTGTGTGTCTGTAAGGATCAGTTTGTAAATGTATTAAACTATTGTACAACTTCTATGCTTCTGTATACAGGAGGAGGAGGAGGAGGTTATATCACTTTTTAAATTCCTGTGCTGCAATTGGCATCGTCATTTAGTTTGCTCCAACTCTTATATAAACATTAGTTATACACACTCATTAACAAACCTGTATTGCAGAAGTAGTAGTAAAATGCTTATTGGTGTACTACTGCTTATGATTGTTATTCACTACACACCCAGTTACGATAGACATACTAGTGCTTATCTACTCTTAGCATTCCTAGCTTTGCCTTAGTTTATATAGAGTAGTATTCTCTACATTAGTTAAGAATGCCACACACATACCACTACAGATATTGGTTGCCACATCAAATGTACTGAGCAGTATTAGAATTACTGATAACCAATGAAGAAGTGTATAGTATTATTAAAAGTAAATTTACCTGATGAGTCATATTCTAAAACTATTTTAATATTTTAACTTTTTGCTTTTACAGTAGTCAGAGCCTCAGTGACTAATTACATCAAAGCTTTCTAATTACTCTACAAACATAAATTCCTCAGTAGTTGCTGTGTTGTAACTAGTAAATTCTAATAATTTTTTTGTTAAATCATGCATTTATTGTGTCTGGCACAATTGAACAACAGTTTTGCTTTAGTCGTATTGTTATAACAGAAGCAAAAATGGAACGTCTTGTTGAAGAAAGTCAATCTTCTACAGCTGATGAAGTGATGCATGAAATGAAGGCACTACCTTCCAGTCAAGAGCCAAAGCTACAGTGTCAAGTACAACCTCAACACAGCAAGAAATACACTGGAGACAAGTGGTTACTTGGTGTAGTAGCATTAGTGCTAGCCGTTATAATGGTGCTGCTGATTGTTTTAGTATTTATGTGTGGCTTTATGATGTCACAATCATCTCTTAGTGCCACCACCCAAGCTTTGGTCCAGGAAAGCATTGAAAAATTGGCCCTTCTGGTTGATATCGCTCGAGAAATCAGCAGGAATGTCAACAATATACAGATCAATGAAATCCTTTCTCTTATCACTAATGTTACTCACATCAATAATGAACTTGCTTGGGACCACAAAAAAGCTCTTTCTCTTGTTGAAAATTTGTTGAACAACAACACAGATTTATTGAAAACATTTGCTGCATCTAATAGTGATTCTCTTACTAACATTGTCAATACTCTCTCTAATATGCAAGACACCAGTATCTCTACTGCTGGAGTGGTTGATGGTTTACTAATAGTTGTACAAGAACTACTGCAGATACATAATGTCTCTTTTTCACTACCTACATCTTGCAAACAAATTAGATATGAAAAACCAAGCAGTCCTTCTGGTTTGTATCTACTGACAACTGCTAATAGTCGAACTATTAATGCTTACTGTAATATGGAGGAGTTGTGTGGTTCAGGAGGAGGGTGGACAAGACTAGCATATCTGGATATGAGTGACTCTACAGTGAACTGTCCTTCTGGGTTTAGACTGTACCAGTCAGGAGAAGTTAGAGCTTGTGGTAGACCAGTAACAAGCAGTGGTAGCTGTGTATCAGTTCAGTTCCCATCTAATGGTATCAGTTATTCTCAGGTGTGTGGTAGAGTAACTGGATATCAATACTCTGCACCTGATGCAGTTGGCATTCATCATGGTTCCAATCAAGACAATTTAAATAGCTATTATGTTGATGGTGTTAGTATCACTCGTGGATCTCCTCGTCAACATGTCTGGACACTAATGGCTGCCAATTATGAAATGCATAGTATTGGTACACTTAGTTGTCCTTGTGCTACTGGCTCTACACTACAAGTTCAGTCATTCATCGGTGACAATTATTTCTGTGAATCAGGGGTTGCTGGTCTATTGGAACAGCAGTTGTACACATCTGATCCACTCTGGGATGGTCAAAGTTGTGGTACTCTTGAATCACCTTGTTGTAATGTTCCTGGTATCCCATGGTTTCACAGAGACTATGGTAACACTACCACTAGTGACTATATTGAGTTGAGGGTGTGTGGAGATGAAGGAACTGATAATGAAGATACTCCTGTTGGCTATTATGAGATTTATGTTCAGTAGAACAGTTAATAGCTTTTGTGTGCATGTTCTTTTTAGATTAGTCTTTCTTTGACATACTAAACATGTTTTTAATGTCAGTGCTGATTTATTTTCTGTAATTGAAATTTCCTTATTTTTTTCTCAAAAGTTTCTTTTTCCTACTGACTGACCTTTGTGTAGGAAAACAGTATGAACTTACATGCAATATTAATTTTCATTCTTTCTTCACTGCACAGGATTTAAATAGGTCAGAGAATAGATTTAATTTATGCACAAGGATAGACTTGTACTGCAATGGGAGATGAAAGCTATCAGTCTGTTCAATCAACAAGTTCAACATGAGAGAATGAACTAAACAATTGTATTCTTTATCCTTGCAAGCTTACTTTTCCTAGCAGTGTTAATACATTTCTTAAATTTTGAACTATGGTATTAGTAAAACAATTACCATTTATTATATTTTATTTATTACAGGTTTTGTGTTGAAGTCACTAAGGACACTGCTAGTGTTATTCCTAATCATACAATATGTCTTCGATCAGTTTTCACTGTCACTAACCTTCTGCCGTACGGCTTTCATTTCTCCTTCAAGTCAAAAGAGAAACTTATACCATCAGGAAAAGAAGTGGCCATTCACAATGTAAGTACATATAGAATATTAATTTTTGAATTGTTCTGTAACAACCAGGGTTTTTTAGTGAATTTTTGTCTTTTAAAATGTGCAAAATAAAAAAGCAAATGGCTGTTTTTTGTAATAGCAATTATTTCCAAAAGTGCCAATTATATAATGCTTTCATTGTAATTTTACTAATCTTTCTGACATTTCTTTGTACAGGTTAATTCTCTGAGGCCTGTAACCTTCTCTATCAGTAAATTAGAGTCGTTTGAATTTTCTGACAATTGCACTGTCTCCATTACTGAAGTGGGTGTGGTCAAGTCGCTGATTGTTCGTGATAAGGCAAATCGTTCACTTAATCTTCATGTTAACACTGAGCTCATGTCTAAAGGATCATTGAAAGTACGTAATATTGATTTTTACGAATAAAATTAATTTAATATTATTAAAAAATTTTCTTAAATTAAAAGCTTCCTAGAACACTGTGTAGAGCTAAATGGCATTTGTATATTTTATATTTTACGAGTAAAAGTTGTGAAGAATTTTTTTATTTCGGTTTAAATTAGAATTATTTTATTTTTATTTTATATAGGTGGTTATTTGGTGTCCCTATTGGTTGATCAATAGGACTAGTCTCCCGTTGGTGTTCACATCACAGGGTGACAGCAGTGGGGGAAAGTGTGCTGGCCAGTTTGAGGAGCATGAGACAGCTACAAGCATGTCACCTCTTCTCTTCTCTTACTCTGAAGACGATCTGCTACAAAAGTATGAGAACCGTTGTATTTTATTAAAATTAAATTCTCCATTTTTTATAACTTTTGTTGTTGGTGCATGAACTGTTTTTTATCAAAGCTTGTACTATACAGGGTTTCCCACAGGATTTTTTGGCTTAATGCTCATGCAGCTTCTAGTCAATGGATTGTCAAGTTGCTCAAAAATTGGGCCAAAGATCCTATAAGGAGAAAACCTCGCAAGGAGAGAATTCTCCATTTTTAAAGTTGCTTAAAAATTAGGCCAAATTTTGTCAAAATTGGTTGCAAAAGAATTCTCCATTTTTATAATTTTTTTCTGATACGTATACACTTTTTCATGTTGTGTATCAACCTTGAGCTGATTTTGATCAAAATTTGATTTTTTGACTTTTAAAATTTGCTTCAAATGCCATGTACTGTATCTTCACCCTTTTTTACTTTCCTTATTTCCCTTCCATCTCTTCCTCTTTTTCTCTATTGTCTCCTTCCCTCACTCCTTCTCTTTGTTAAGGTGTCAGGTGCGTTTGGGTAGGGGACAGGATGAGGGGGTCCCCAGTTGGTCCAACGGTTTCCGCATGCTTAGAGATGAAGATGTCCTTCGCCTGTTTGTTAAAAGAGGCCAAGGAAGACCAGACAAGTATGTAACACTTTAATTTCACTATTTTCAATCACATGACTACAATAATACACTCTATGATACAGCATTATCTTTTTTATGCATGACACTTGACAATATTATTAATTTTTCACCAAAATATTGATAAGCATTAAATAATAATCTTTAATTATTTCAAATCATTTTAGAGAGTATCAGATTGGTATGGAAGTGAAGAAAGGCACTGGGGTTTATAAGCCAACCAAAGTGGTGACGTTTGTTGCCAGGTTTCAACTAGAGAACAGGACAACGTTCAACTTGAAGTACCTCCAAAGGCACTTAGTGTTTGCTAAGGATGAATCATCATCAGACTCTGTGCCAGTAATAGCTCCAGGAGCTGTGATGGCCTTTCACTGGCCTAGAGCTGATTTAGATCAGCTATTGTGTATCAGGTAATGTATTTGTTTATTGTGTGACTTGTTTGTATGGTGCTTTTCCTTTTTAGTGTTTTTTGTTAATTTATTTTATTCGTTGTTTGTTATTATTTTTACTTGTATTGTGTTATGATATTTTCATTTATTTATCTTACTCATTGTGTATTATTGATTTTACTTGCGTAGAGTTGTGGAGCTTTCAGATTGTCATTGGTCGGGAGGTTTCCCATTAGAACAAGATAAATCATTTCACATCAACATGAGGTATAAGCACACACACACTCATACACACACTAATACACACATTAGTTAATTAGAAGTTCCAACTCAAACTGTCTTGATGCCACTGATACCGTATAGCAGGTATATTCCGTTCGAGTTTAATTTCGTTTTTTTCGTTCTCATTCCTTGTGGAACGAACATTTTCCAACGAAAAAGGTGTTTCCTCAATGCCACGTGTGTAAAATGGCTGCTCAGAACGAAAATAAAATGAACGAAAATTTCTAGAACGAACATTTTCCCAGACAAAATATACCCGCTATACGGTACATGTATGTACAGCATGTATAACAAGATATGTATTAAAATAGAATCGAGGCGTGTTTTATAGTTTACAAAAAAATATTTTAGTAAAAGACTATGCATTATTAAAGTCTATTACATATATATTTAGTCCAGTTTCTTGATATTTACTTTTATTGTATTAGTGGCTCTTTCTCCTCCCCCCTCCAGGTGCTCTTATGGTAGGTCAGTGTTCATTAGGTGTGAGGTGATTCTGAGAGGAGCCACTTATCATGTCATATTCTCTGATGCGTCAGACTACCCTCCTCCTTTTAAACTAGAGAACCTCTCCCAAGTATAAATAATTAAATAATATGCACATGTACTTGTGTTACATTGAATGTAAAAAATTGTATTTGTACTTTTAATTTTATTTATTTATTTCTTGATCTTATTGTGTAACAATGTTATTCTGTTATTTCTGTATATTTTTTTCATTATATAGATAGCAGTTATATGTTACCAACAGTCAGTCACATCTCAGCAGCAGTACACAGTATTAAATCCAGGACAATCAGGTATCATTAATTATTTATTTATTTTAAAATTATTTCTTTTTATTCTATTTATTTATTTTTATTTTTTAGTGCCCTATGCTTGGGACGAAGTAACTTTGCCCGAAAAACTTTGTCTCCACATTAAAGATGTTTCAGAGCCACGCCCCTTTGACCTGAGCAGCTTTGGACCTCAAGGGAAGGTTTATTATGAGAGCTACTTTTACATCGTTGCCATGGATACCAAAACTGACCAATCGCATTTACCGGAGAGCCACAGGCTTGAGGGAGAGCTGGTCCTTGATGTACCTCAAGGAAGAGCCGTACTCTTAACTAGGAAAGTATGGAAATCAAACTTTTATATTGTTATAACATGGAGGATGCTTTGTGCATACAGTTATTAATGTATACCGTATAGCGGGTAATTTTGGAGGTGCTAAAATTTGGTGAATTGCTAAATTTTGGTGATTGGCGGATTTTTAATTTGGCAAATTTGTGGCCACGTGCCATTGAGCATACGTATAATGGCTCAAATGGCTATCAAAATGCCAAATTTGCCAAATTTAATCCCCTCCAAAATTACCTGCTATACGGTATTGAATGTGTATTAAGTCTTGGGCTAGTATTTTTAGTGATAATGTACCTAATTTAGCTTTTTTGATTATTGAATGTTATTTTTTATGAAGAAGTTCTTTATCATGTAAATGTAGATTATTTTGATATTTTATTACCATTAATTTTGGCTTGCATCACTTACATGTAGTTTAGCATTTTAAAGCAAGTTGTACTTTAATTTAATTTTAATATGTATTAATGTTTATTATTATTTATGTAATATTTATTATTCACAAAATGGTGTTTTTATTTCTTTTTTTTTTGATTATTTTCTTCCTAGGGTCTTGAAAGGAGGACTCAGCTATGGAGAATGACTGCCAGAGGCCAGTTGGTACACATTTCGTCTTCATCTTCAAAATCGGCTAATTTTGTACTGGACCTAGCCGGGTCTGTACCTCCTAATTATCGCCATAGCAACAGGCCACTCCCCCTCGTCATATCAAGAGCTAACGAGAGACGGTCGTCAACGCAATCATGGGAATTTAAAGTAAGAAATTACTAATATATCTTATATTTTTGTATAGTGCAAAATTTTGAAGGGCTGTAAATTTTGCAAAATTGCCTTAAAATTTATTTTGCGAATTAGTGCAATCTGCCATTTTGTACTGTAATAATTTGATTTTTACATAAGTAATTTTTGCAAATCTTAAAAAATGGGACATCTGCAAAATTTACAACCCCCATAAATTTTGCGCTAGACGGTATTAAAATGATTTTTAGTGAATGATGAAAATTAATTTTATTTTTTTAATTAGAATGGGAGATTGGTCCTCTCCTCCTACCCTCACCTGTGTGTCCAGGTTCGTCATGGTTACGAGGGTAAGGTGGACGGTATGGACGCTGTGGTTGGTTGTGTTGGCAGTGGAGACAAGGAGGAGTTCAGGAGACTCAAGAAATCCCCCGGGAGTGGAGTACTCTCTGTATCTCTGGTACCTGATGGACCCACTCGTGTCCTTAGAATCACTGATGAGAGCAAAAAAGTATTTATTAATAATAATGTACATGTACATTCACGCACACTCATGTACATGTACATGTAAATACTCTGTACTGTATGTAGTATAGGTTCTTCGGCTCAATTTTTTGCAACTTTTAAAATTTATTAAAAATGCAGTTTTGATCCAAATCAACTCAAAATTTCTGTATTTTGACAAAATACCCTGTACTTGAATTTTATTACGTTTTCTGATGCATATACATGTACCTATGTTATGTAGAAAGTTTAAACTAATTCTGATCAAGTTTGGATTTTTTACGAATTTTTAAAGTTTCTCCAAAATCGGACAAAAGTCCCTGTACTATAGTACAGGGATTTTGGCCAAATTTCATCAAAATTGACAAGTAGAGAATTCTTCAATTTTATTATATTTTCTGATGCATATACATGTACTTATGTTGCGTGGAAAGTTTGAACTAATTCCCATCAAGTTTTGATTTTTTACGAATTTTTAAAGTTTCTCCAAAATCAGACAAAAGTCCCTGTACTATAGTACAGGGATTTTGGCCAAATTTCATTAAAATGGACAAGTAGAGAATTCTTCAATTTTATTACATTTTCTGATGCATATACATGTACCTATGTTACGTAGAAAGTTTGAACTAATTCTGATCAAATTAAAATTTTTTACGAATTTTTAAAGTTTCTTCAAAATCGGACAAAAGTCCCTGTACTATAGTACAGGGATTTTGGCCAACTTTCATCAAAATTGACAAGTAAAAAATTCTTCAATTTTACTACATTTTCTGATGCATATACATGTACTTATGTTGCGTAGAAAGTTTGAACTAATTCCGATCAAGTTTGGATTTTTTACGAATTTTTAAAGTTTCTCCAAAATCGGACAAAAGTCCCTGTACTATAGTACAGGGATTTTGGCCAGCTTTCATCAAAATTGACAAGTAAAAAATTCTTCAATTTTACTACATTTTCTGATGCATATACATGTACTTATGTTGCGTAGAAAGTTTGAACTAATTCCGATCAAGCTTGGATTTTTTACGAATTTTTAAAGTTTCTCCAAAATCGGACAAAAGTCCCTGTACTATAGTACAGGGATTTTGGCCAAATTTCATCAAAATTGACAAGTAAAAAATTCTTCAATTTTACTACATTTTCTGATGCATATACATGTACTTATGTTGCGTAGAAAGTTTGAACTAATTCCGATCAAGCTTGGATTTTTTACGAATTTTTAAAGTTTCTCCAAAATCGGACAAAAGTCCCTGTACTATAGTACAGGGATTTTGGCCAGCTTTCATCAAAATTGACAAGTAAAAAATTCTTCAATTTTACTACATTTTCTGATGCATATACATGTACTTATGTTGTGTAGAAAGTTTGAACTAATTCCGATCAAGCTTGGATTTTTTACGAATTTTTAAAGTTTCTCCAAAATCGGACAAAAGTCCCTGTACTATAGTACAGGGATTTTGGCCAGCTTTCATCAAAATTGACAAGTAAAAAATTCTTCAATTTTACTACATTTTCTGATGCATATACATGTACTTATGTTACGTAAAAAGTTTGAACTAATTTCGATCAAGTTTGAATTTTTTACAAATTTTTATAGTTGCTCAAAAATTAAGGCTCAAGCCCCTGTATTATTATAGCCCATGCTTTTTTCCAGAAAATAGCTCCAAAATCACCTTCAATGTTTATTAAATTTTTTGATACATATTGATGTTCTTATGCTAAGTATATAGAAAGTTTGAACTATTTCTGACTGTTTGAGTTACGAACATTTTAAAACAAGCCTATTTTTTCCAAAAAAAGCTAGTACAAGGTCTTAGGCCAAGTTTTTGAGCAACGTTACAAATAAATAAAAAGTCGAATTTTGATTAGAATTAACTCAAACTTTCTATGTAACACATACATGTAGATGAAATGGAGATACATGTATTATTGGGAGGGTAGTGATTCACCATTATCCTCATCTTATCTCCTCTCTCTCTCTCTCTACAGTACACTATATCAGGTGCTACTGATGATTGGATTATAGTGGAGCATGGACTAATAGCGCCAGCTGTATCATCTTCAACCGTTGAACTAACTAATGAAGAGACTGACGTTAAAACTGAATTATCAGTAAGCCCACAATATAACATTAACACAACTACTCTTATACATGTAGTCATTAGTCCTCCAGTATTATTGGAGTCCTTATTCAATGCATGTACCTGTACATTGTAATGCTGTATAGCTAGAATCTATTGTCACCCAAATTCCCCCAAAAAGTTGAAAAGCAGAAATTAAATTTCATGAAATAGATTTTTAGACAAGTTTGGAAAATTTTTGGGCCATAAAATGGTCCAAAATTAATAATGTATAAAACCAAAACCAATATACCACTACCAAAAACTATTTCCAACAGTACACTATATAAATGCAAATCATTATTAAGGTTTACTATTATCTTATTATTATTATTATTATTATTATTATTATTATTATTATTATTATTATTATTATTATTGTTATTAGGTTTCATTTACACTTGAGAAGGGAGTGAGTGTTTCCCTGATCAACTCAACTCCAGAGGAACTCTTGCTAGCTACAGTAACTGGAGTCCGTGTTGAGTTTGTCAGTACTGCAGTCCACCAGTGCATCAATGCCACCATACAGTACATACAGGT